GAGATGGGATGTATGGCCACGATTAAACTACCGGGAGCAAATATGGCGGTCAAAATATCACGAGGACTTAGGCATAACGAAAGGCGTTCTCTTATTCTCAATCACAGGATAGATATTTACTTACGACTCTCTGAGAATCACGCCCTGAAAGACGTGCGTACGAACGGACAATCGTATTGACAATAGCGAATATATTAATTGTTCAGCGCCATTCATTGTACCAGAACAACTAGATTGAATTCCCTTTACTTCGTATCTTAAAAGGATTCAATGCTAAATCCGGCATTCAATTCAGGATCCAGATTCACAAAGGATCTCACAGTACGTTGGGTATATCCTGGAGTGGCTGGTGGATATATTTACTGCGGCTCATAAACACAACTGTGCTCTACTTACCATTATCTGAAGATGATATATATTGTAGCTACGTGGTTTAAGACGACAGTGTGAATGAACTGTATGTATATTAAGCACATATATATATACACACATATATATTTATCAAGAGATCGGCCTAAAACTTCCCATTTGAAAATAAGGATAAACTTCAGGTAACGTCGCACCAACATTGGGAGTATAAACAGTATGAGTGGAGATAGTCGACTACCCCCTTAGTGTACGGTGCCGCCTCTGAGCTGGATAAAATCACCTGGCGTTAACCAAATAAAACCTAAGTGGCGTCCCCGTAGTGAAGGGGTTAAGATGCCAACATGGTGATGATACTGAATACATTATCCTATTAATATTGGAACCATACATAACTATTCCTCACATGATTCATTAAAACTTTTCTAACTGTTGTACTTAACTTACGACAGACAGACATATTTCTAAAGTTAAAATTTTCCTCTTAACTACTGATATTAAAACTCACACGTTATAACAATGGATTCACTTAAATTCGTATAGTTAATCTGGTCCTTAACTGGTGATACCTTAAATTAACCCAGCCATCTCACTTAACCTAACCTAACCTAACCCCTAACCCAGCCATCTCACTTAACCTAACCTAACCTAACCTAACCTAGCCTAACCTAACCTAACCCAGCCATCTCCTCACGGTGGCTTGAATAGTACCCTGAGACTCGACAGTAATTAACGGGGTCCCTTTATCCACAGTTTATGGTAGAAACAATTATTATATACAGTACCTTAGAATGTCTGCACCTGGACTTGTGTAGTAAGTAATTTGGTAACTTAGGTCTTGTAGCGTTATTGAATTGTTTTGTGTGTGTGTGTGTGTGTGTGTGTACAGTATATGTATCTGCGTGTTTTATGCGTGTATTATTATGTATGTGCATAAGTGTGTATGTATGTATGTATGTATGGCTGCCTTCCTTCCTCGTGCCAGTGCCAATTTAGCCGGCAGGGTGGACATCGGTTACCGGATGAAGGACACCCAACAAACCAAACCAAACCCCCCACACACCACCACACCACACACCAACCACCCCCACCACCCACACACACCCACCCACCCCTCCCACCCACCACGACATCGAATCAGCATGATATTGATCCAACCGAACTCAACCGTGTCTTCAGCTTAAGGGCTGAAATTATCTACAAAGTTACACGTATATCGAGCAGTGGTCCTCCCCACCCTGCTATATGGCAGCGAGACATGGATCACATACAGGAGGCACCTCAAGTCATTGAAAACTTTCACCACAGTAGTCTACGTTCCATCCCCCGAGTTCGTGGGAAAGCAAAGAGAACAAATGCCAGTATTCTCGCTGACACCAACTGTAGGAGCATCGAGGCTAACCACTATCCATGAACAACTATGCTGGACTGGCCATGTTACCCGCATGGATGACAGTAGACTGCAAAAGCAGCTACTTTACAGTCATCAAACGAATAGTAAACGCTAACGCCGGCGGGCAACTGAAAAGGCATAAGGATAGTCTTATGACAAACCTGAAAATGCCAAATCGACCCCTCACCTGAGACGATTGCTCCATCGTAACGCTTGGAGGAGCACCACACGAGAAGGTGTCAATACTTTCAGTTAGCCCGACTGCAAACCGAGGCAGATAACGCCAACGCCGGAAAGACGCTGCCGCTGCCTCCGCACTGGATGTAGCCCTCCACATGTGAAACATCGGTGAACGACTCTGCCGGTCCCGTATCGGCCTCTTTAGTCACCTCAAAACTCACCAATGAAGGTGACATCCCTAATAACTCATATCATTGTATCATAGCTGGGTGATCATCATACTCGATTCCGAGTGACAGCAAAGTAGTAGTAGTAGTAGTAGTAGTACAGTATGTATGTATGTATCTGTACAGTATATACTGTACGTCTTTTTATTTACAGTATGTATGCGTTTATCTGTTTCTACACACACACAAATATTCGTATACACAATATGTTTTCATTTATTTAATTGGAAAGCTAAAAGAAAAACCATTACGGATAATTGGTAAATGGGGAGACTTAATGAAGACAGAGAAACCTGACTCAAAAAGTTATCGTCCACTGCATCTACCAATAAAATATTTGGGAAAAAATATTTGCCAATAATTAACCAGTTTCTGAGAACACCACTACCACCATCACCACCAGCTGCCGTGTGAGGAAGGACCCCACCTCGGCACACCTGCTGGTCTTGTTGAGCCACTGGAAGGACGCCCTGGACGCTAGACTCGCCGCCTTCGTCATCGCTCTGGACGTCACTGAAAAGTTGGGTTGCACGTGGCACCAGGCCTCGTCACCGCGCTTGGTGCACTTGTCATTATTGGTGATCTGTTGGAGCTGTTACCCGACTACCTGATTGGCAGGTCCCTCAGCGGCCAGTCATCGTCCCCCCTACCCTGAGAGCCTCGGTCCCTCAGGGGTCAGTCCAGGGACTTATAATTTCAACATGTACATCAGTGATTTTCTTTAAGGGCTGACGACTAAACATTGTCACACACTTAATAAACAAGATGCCCAGGATGTCACTGAGTCAACCTGGAGCACCTCACGTCCTGGGGTCCTCATTAGTAAGTGAGATTCGCCGTTGAGAAGGTCCAGGCGATAGTCATCTCCAGTACACCCGAGGATGATGGTGTGATGGGAGGTAAAGGCGAATAAACAGTCACCTTAACATCCTTGGGGATAAAGTGGGTGACACACGACGCTGTTGAGGAGGGAACACGCTGGACCTCTGACCCTCTACACGGGCCGAGTCCCAATATTACTTAAAACGCACCATTTTTCTGGATGTCAAGTGACCCTCCTCTACCAGGTTCAGAAGCTAAATGAATAACCTTACTGCCTGTACAGCACAACGAGAACTACTGCCTCGCCTGGCCACCATAAATGTGCTGCACAAGGAACACACAGGTACAGCACGTGGCACATTTATCTTGACTGAAATTCCAGGGCAGCAGTCACACCACACCATGAGGCCGGTCCTGCCTACTGACTATCTGATGGAGGTTCCTCAGTTCGGGGGCAGCACACACCAGCGGCCCTCACTGTCACTCACAACACCACGACTCTTACAACACACGTCTGGAGCCTCACACCCCGCCATAACACCCCCGCCCTCAACACCCTCAACACCCAGACTTACTTGCCATAAAACATTGCTTTGTTTTTCTCCAGTATATATCAATTTGTTTTGTATAATATGGTAGTAAAGAGGCTCTCCAGCGGACCTGGATTAGATACGGTATATATATATTTTTTTAAGGAAGACGGGAAGCAACACCGCACCTTGTACCTCTGTGTGATAATTAAAGTAGAGGTTTAATAATGAAGAGATAGTGAGAGATAGAGAAAGATCGAACCCAGAGAGAGAGAGAGAGAGGTGGGAGGGAGGAGAGAGAAAGAGGGGATCGGGGAGAGGGAAGAGACGAAGAGGAGAGAGAAGAGAGGCATAGCGACGTAAAACTGAGAAAATGGGACGTAAAGGCGGTAAAGCCAGTCAACAAAACTAAACAACGATAAATGGGGCGAGAGAGAGAGAGAGAGAGAATAAATTAGTAAGGAAAAATGAATAAGAACGAGAGACAGACAGACATACAGAGTGAGAAAAAAAAAGAGAGTGAGAGAGAGTGTGAGAGTGAGGGGGAAAAAGAATCAGAAAGAGAGAGCAGAGCATCCCTCCATACCTCTCTCTCCTTTCTTCCTCCTCCCTCTACCCCCCTTCCATCACTACCAAATAACCCTCACCATCCGGGTCATCACCATCACTCTCTCCCTCATCATCACCATTATCTTCTATCTCCTCCCTCCGTCACCCCTCACTCCTCCCATTACCTGCCATCATTCACCATTATGTCTTATCCACCCAACATTAACTCTTCATTATGTCTTCATTCTCTCACTCCTTATCCCACACTGTGTCATTTTTTTCTGTCTCGCTCTATCTCTCGCTCTATCTCTCGCTCTATATATATTTACTCTCTTTCGAATGGCTTAAATCACACTTTTCTATCTTATTTTTCATTTTATCGTCAGCATCTCTTTGTTTTCTCATTATTATAATCTTCCTCTCTCTCTCGTTATCTGTTTATCTCTCCTCCGTTCATTCATTCGTTAAGTAAATGAATTACTTGCATTTTTTTTTATTTATTTATTTATTTTTTTTGGGGGGCGCAAATCTCCTCCCATCTACACACACACACACACACACACACACACACACACCACTATTCTACAGACCCACTACACTATCCTCCCCTCCACTATTCCTCTCCATCTTCCTCCTGTTCTTCCCACATTGCCACCCTTCCCCTCCCCTCCCCTACCCACACCTTCCCTCCCCCACCTCCCCTCACCTTCCCCTCTCCCAACTCCCCTACCCTGCCCCCTTCCCCCTCCACTCCCTTCCCCTCCTGCCACCTCCCCCTCCCCCTCCCCCACTTTACCCCTACCCCTGCCCCCCTTCCCCTCCTCCAGACTCCCTACCTGCCACACCTTTTCCCCTCCCACCTGTTCTCTGTCCCCCCCCTTCCTTCTGTTCTCCCCACTCCCCTAACTCTCACACTCCCTCACTCACCCACAGGAGTTGTTCCGTAACGACCAGCGGGTGACCTTGTCCCTCACGCAGCTGGCCGTGTCAGCGTCGGGTCAGTACCGTTGTGAGGTCATCGCTGAGCACCCCAGCTTCCGCACCGAGTGGTACCGAGCTACCATGACCGTCCTCCGTGAGTACCATTGATTACCATGACCGTCCTTAGTTAGTACCATTGATTACCATGATGATGGCTGTACCTCCTTTAGTACCATTGATTACCATGACCGTCCTTAGTTAGTACCATTGATTACCATGATGATGGCTGTACCTCCTTGAGTACCATTGATCACCATGGCTGTCCTCGCTAAGCACCATGGTTATAAAGATTGCCATGAGTTCAATGACTGTAGATATCACCATGATCATCTCCAGTAGGTACCATGACTACCATAACAATGCTGAAGTAAGTTCCTTGACTACCATTTTCAACAACACACTTCACTCCGCCACTACAACACACCACCATCACCAGAACTACTTGATCTCTCAATATGACGACGATCCAGCAATGGCAGAATGATCTAAGTTATTAATAATGTCATAGCTTGAGATGCCGAATAGTGACGGGCAAGGGTTGTCTGTAGAAGTTGCTGCAGGCTACATCTAGTGCGGGAGGGGCGGCGGCAGCGTCTTTCATGGATGCCTCTCACTCCAACATTCTACCATAATCTCTCTCTCTCTCTCTCTCTCTCTAACATATATTTTTCACCAGTCTCTCACTTTCTACATTCTCAGTAGAGGAACCTCACCTCACCTCAGGCACTCTGGACGGTTCTCTCATTCTCACGTCTCTTCTTTATCCGAGGTTGTTATTCTCTTCCCCTTTATTTAACTCCTCGTCTTTCTCTCCCTCCTTCACAGCTTGTCCGTCGCTTCTAACTTGTTGGGAGTTCTCTATAGCACCCACCCGTGTATCATCCTCTCTGTGTGTGTGTGTCTATATTTCTTTCAGTCCGCCTATTTCTTTCTTTCCCTCCACTTGTTCTCTGATTCATCCTCTGACATATTTCTCTCTCTCTCTCTCTCTCTCTCTCTCTCTCTCTCTCTCTCTCTCTCTCTCTCTCTCTCTCTCTCTCTCTCTGGGATACTTGCAATACCTCCTATTTTTTTTCCATTCCCTCTCTCCATTTAGACTAGCAGCCATATCTCCTCCTCCCTCCCACCCTCCTCTCTCTCCTCTCACACCTCCCCTCTCTCCCTCACCTCTCTCCCTCCTTCTCTACTTATTTTCACCAATTTAGATTTTTTTTCACGTTCACTAATAACTCTTCTCGTGTTATTGTCTTAAACTCGTTCACTAACATTTACAATTTCGTTGGTGAAGTTCTATACATAGTCGGGCGTGACGGGCACACAGCGGCTCACCCCCTACCCCATCACCACACCCACACCCCACCCACCACCCCCACCTTACATATAACTATCAATTAAAACGCGACGCCCCTCACTAACACTCCCGTTCTCATCTCTCTTTAACTGCCTCATTCGTGAAACTACTGAACAAGCATGACGTCATTACACATCCTTAACACAGTCACCACTTCCAATGCCAACCAATTTCCTTTTCCTTTTCCCCGGCCACTCTAAACCCAAGCTTCATTATCTCTGTATAAAAAAAAAAAAAAATGGTGGACGACATTGAACATTTTCCATTTGTCCCCACGTTTTCAATACTCTCCACACCGCTTTTCTCGCCACTCTATCATATGCTTTTTACAGACCCAGAAATGCCACAAACGAATTTTCCATCTCCAGACACGATAATAGAAATTTGAATACAAGAAAAACCGTGGGAATGTTACCCCAGCCTGCTGTGTTTTCGTCAACAAAACACTCAAGAGCTCTCGCGCGCGTACACGATGACGTCTTCTACAGTCGTCATAGCCGTTAGGAATTTAGAGTATCTAATCACAGCTGCCGACGCTCACCTCCCAGGTAAGGGTACAGCATTACAGCCTTCAGAGGCGGGTTAAAAATTCTTACTAAACAGGTCCCTCGGGACACAAACCCTCAGACCCTGCACCAGGTACACACGATGACCGTAACCTGTCGCAAGGTGCCAACGTAAGAATTAGTACAATAATATAAATCCAACATGTTTGGTTTTCTTCAACAAAACACTCGAGACATTCCCAGTGTAAGCATGATGACGTTCACTATAGACTCATAACGCGTACCTTAAGAGGATCGAGGCCGCGGTAACGACGTTCACCTGTCAGGTAATGGGATACAAACCCCCAAAGGCGGATCCGAATTAAAACCTAACGGATTTACTCGCCGAACAACCTTCAAAATATGGGCATTATAACGGTGCCGATTTAAGGTTTGAATTGTAGAATAATTAAAAAGAAAAATATGAAACCAGCGAGAGAATTTACGGATTATTGTCTAGTTTCGTCAACAAAATCTTTAGCGGGTAAATACGACGATGTAGGTTATAAATACCTTAACATTGACCATGTTAAAGGATCGTGTCACAGGGTGCTGACGCTCACCTGTAAGGTAATGGGATCAAAACCTCTGAGGGCAGGATCACAGCACAGGCTAAACAGGTTCCCACACACACACGTCGACTGCAGACTGTTTGATGTTGTTGTTGTTGCTGTGTTGGGTTGCCGGAGGTGAAGTGTGGGTGTGGTATTTACTTCTTCTTCTTCTTCTTCTTCTTCTTCTTCTTCTTCTTCATATATTTCTGGAGCACCTTTCCTTCTCCTTCCCTTCGATTTCTACCTTTTTATTAAGTGTCCTTTTTTATTCCCATTTGTTCTTGTTCTTGGTGATTCTTATCCTCTGTCTTCCTCTCCTCCCTTCCCTCCTTCCGTCTCTTCCTCCCGTCTTCCCATATCTCTGATTACTCTTCATTTCCATCCTATTTCCTTCTTATTTCCTTTATTCTCATCTGTGGGTCAGGTCTCTCTTTTCTTTCTCTCTCTCTTCACCATTCCTCTCTCTCCTTTCCCTCTATTGCACAGTGAAGTGTGAGAGGCCCCCAAGTGTAATGCCACAAGGGCAGTCATGAATATTAACACAGGTAACATATTGGTGGTGGTGTGCTACTGCCGTCCGCACCACAGTTGACTCTAGATCATGTAAATGGATTTATACGTGTGTGTGTGGTATAATGTGTGTGTGTGTGTGTGTGTTGTCACCCCTACTTAGGCTTAGCGTACCTATCCTTTCAATCTAGGTAACCCTATCGTCCTGTGTTCACTCTCATTAAATGATCACACATTAAATTGGAATGTTTGACAATACTGTACGAGGATAATGAGAAAGAGATTGAAGCTATGATGGACGAAAACAACTTGCATGTTTTGGCTCCAAGCGAGACATTGCTGAGTGTGAGAGAGGTGTGCTGAGGACAAGTGAGGGGTGTAAGGTCACGAGTATGTGAGAGAGGTGTGCTGGGGACAAGTGAGGGGCGTAAGGTCACGAGTGTGTGAGAGAGGTGTGCTGGGGACAAGTGAGGGGCGTAAGGTCACGAGTGTGTGAGAGAGGTGTTAGGGGGACAAGTGAGGGGCACTGAGTAAGTGTGAGAGGTGTGCTGGGGACAAGTGAGGCGTAGGTCTGTGTGAGAGGTGTGCTGGGGACAAGTGGGGGGTGTAGGTCACGAGTGTGAGAGAGGTGTGCGGGGACAAGTAGGGGCGTAGGGTCATGAGTGTGTGGAGAGGTGTGCTGGGGACAAATGAGGGGTGTAGGTCACGGTATGTGAGGTGTGTGCGGGGACAAGTGAGGGGCATAGGTCACGAGTGTGTGAGAGAGGTGTGCTGGGGACAAGTGGGGGCGTAAGGTCACGAGGTGTGTAGAGAGGTGTGCTGGGGACAAGTGGGGGGTAGGTCACGGTGTGTGAGAGAGGTGGTGCGGGGACAAGGAGGGGTGAGGTCACGAGTGTGTGAGAGAGGTGTGCTGGGGACAAGTGAGGGGTGTGGGTCACAGTGTGTGAGAGAGGTGTGTGCGGGGACAAGTGAGGGTGTAGGTCGCGAGTGTGAGAGGTGTGTGCTGGGGACAAGTGAGGGCATAAGGTCACGAGGTGAGAGAGGTGTGTGCTGGGGACAAGTGAGGGGCGTAGGTCACGAGTGTGTGAGAGGTGTGTGTGCTGGGGACAAGTGAGGGCGTAAGGTCACGAGGTGTGTGAGAAAGTGTGTGCTGGGGACAAGTGAGGGGCATAAGGTCACGAGGTGTGTGAGAGAGGTGTGCTGGGGACAAGTGGGCGTGGGTCACAGTGTGTGAGAGAGGTGTCGGGGGACAAGTGGGGGCATAGGTCAGAGTGTGTGAGAGAGGTATGTGCTGGGGACAAGTGAGGGGCGTAGGTCACGAGTGTGTGAGAGGTGTGCTGGGGACAAGTGAGGGGCATGGGTCACGAGTGTGTGAGAGAGGTGTGTCTGGGGACAAGTGGGGGCATAAGGTCACGGTGTGTGAGAGGTGTGTGCTGGGGACAAGTGAGGGGCGTAAGGTCACGAGTGTGTAGAGAGGTGTGTGCTGGGGACAAGTGAGGGGCATAGGTCACGAGTGTGTGAGAGAGGTGTGCTTGGGGACAAGTGGGGCGTAAGGTCACGAGTGTGTGAGAGAGGTGTGTGCTGGGGACAAGTGAGGGGCGTAGGGTCCGCGAGTGTGTGAGAGGTGTGTGCGGGGACAAGTGAGGGCGTAAGGTCACGAGTGTGAGAGAGGTGTGTGCTGGGGACAAGTGAGGGGCGTAAGGTCACGAGTGTGTGAGAGAGGTGTGTGCTGGGGACAAGTGGGGGCATAAGGTCACGAGTAGAGAGGTGTGCTGGGGACAAGTGAGGCGTAGGTCACGAGGTGTGAGAGGTGTGTGCGGGGACAAGTGGGGGCATAAGGTCACGAGTGTGTGGGGTATGTGTGCTGGGGACAAGTGAGGCGTGGAGTCACAGTGTGAGAGAGGTGTGTGCTGGGACAGTGAGGCGTAGGTCACAAGTGTGTGAGAGGTGTGTGCAGGGGGACAAGTGAGGGGTGAAGTCCACGAGTGTGTGAGAGTGTGTGTGCTGGGGACAAGTGGGGCGTAAGGTCGAGTGTGTGAGAGGTGTGTGCTGGGGACAAGTGGGGGTGGGTCACAAGTGTGTGAGAGAGGTGTGTCGGGGGACAAGTGGGGCGTGGGTCACGGTGTGTGAGAGG